ACTTATTTCTATTTTTCTATCAAAGAATTCCCCACTGTAGGACAAATAATGGTTCTCTTATCTTATCTTTCAGCTTTTTAAAATGGAACTCTTTTGTTATTTTAAGTTATTTTTACTAGACTTTTTACAAGGAAATCGAAAAACATACAAGGATATCAAAAATCGCAATCACAGATTTGACCAACATTGCACAAGTTTTAGAACGGCTCGACAAAGTGTTGACGATCTCTGTTGGATTTTTTTGTTTATATCTACATCGCCGTTCTCTACTGAAACATACAGTCACTCCTCTGCCTTGGGTCTATTGCGCTTTCGGTTCACTTTGCAACAATATTATGCCTTTCATTCAAGATTCAATATATATTCTGTATATTATTTTGGTTTGAAATATTCATTTTGAAATAGGAGTCAAGTTCAGGGGTAAATGTTCTTTCCAGTGGACCATCAAAGTCGTGTATCTCCTTAAGGGTTGAATACCGTAGTCTCAAAATGGAGCTAAACCGGCGAGAAAATTGTTGAGACTAAACTTTGATTGAGAGCCTTTCTGAAACTCAATACTGGAAAAATCATTAACTTCCAAAGCAAAAATAAAGCCTAAACTTATTATAACACCCTCAGTTAACATTTCTTCACACCTCGCTGTAGTTATTGCCCAGTATTTCGAAGGTTGGTTTCTCTCCCTGCTTGGTTCAGGCCAGTGCAAACAAAGGCTGCGAGGTGGGATTTTGTATTGATGTAGGTTATCTCAAACACTCAATTATGGAATTGAAACCCCAGCGAGACGACTGCATTCACTAAAACTTCATGCAGTTAAAATCTGGAGCAGTCTTCCTGAAAATGTTAGACAGGCGTCTCCTCTGACAATGTTAAAATTCAGATTCAAACAGTTCTGAATGATTGCATCTTTACTCTTTCTTATGTAGTGTGATTATTTAGGATTTTAATTAATCACAAATTAAAGTAGCAATATGTAAGATATTCATGACAAGTTATCATTAAATGGCCCTAATCTGTCAAAGGGCATTAATAAAACATGGTCTTTTCAAATACTTCTCTAACTGATAAGAGTAGTTCAGAGATATTCAAATTTCCAAATTAGTTTTACAGCCCCTAAATCTTGTTATTGTTTTCATTTCGATGTCCCGCCCTCCATGCACCATCTGTGATCCGGGTTGCCAGAACTCATCGTGTCGAGCTAATCTCACTGGTAAATTAACATGTGGCCGCCGTAGCACTAAAAAAGGTCTTGTTCTGATTCTCAAATCATTAATAACAGAACAAGGAATAAAACTAGGATTTCTATCTTTGTGAAAAAAGTGTTGATTATAGATTTGACAAAACTCTTGTCTAATCAGATACTATGTTCCCAGCTGCATTCGTCTGCATATCTGGCTACCTGAGTCAGGGAGAGTGGGAGAGGTTGCAGTACCACTTTTGGCCAGATTTTTACATACTGCTCCTTTAACTATGACATCTGAAAATTCCCCACTGTGGGACGAATAAAGGATATTTTAATCTTAATCTTAATTCATGCGTTTAACAACAATTGTATAGTTGGACAGCACTAATTTTGACATATAGTTCTCTTGTGGTTTTGTTTTAGTTTTACTTCCTGTCCTGTTCTCCTGTGTTGATTGTCTCTGGGCCTATACGTACTATATGTGCTCATCCCCATTTGTTGCTGGTCCATTGTCTATGTCCGTCCATTTTCCTGGTTCCCGTCTTCCGTTCTGAGTTTTGAGTTTGTTTTTACAATGGACCTTTATTCATACTGTATTCATCAATAAATACATTCCTGCATTTTGGCTTTTCTTTCACCTTGTGTTAATATCTTGTTTTATTCAAGCACTTTGCAGTTGCCTTGTGAACTATGCATGTACTAAACTAATAAACTTGCCTTTCCTTGCCTTGCCTTGCCTATACCGGAATAAATTGGAGCGTCCTGTCTTCCGAACAATGCCTTTACAGTTCGCCAACCACCAGGCCATTACTATAAAAACTCCTCTACCACGTCGACTTCATCTTCCCCCCTTTTCATAGCAGCTTCTCTGGCTTCATTACAGAGCCCCCCGCTTGTAATTGGGTGCAAAATCCGCTGATTGCTTTTCAAAGGAAGGTGGTGTGCTCAACAGCTGCCCAGATTTCAGTTTGTGTTTATATACAGAAGATCCAAACTTTGAAATAGTTGGCTCCGGGAAGAAAGCGTGTTTGGCTGCATGCATCAGTGGATCTGTTTAAGCCTCTCTATCCTGCTGCTCCATGCGCTGATAGCCATCTACAGAATGGCATTTGGAACTTGCCTTCATGCTGTATATTGCATTTTTTATTTTTTATTTATATCATGTCAAAAATCTTTACCTCAGAACGCTCTATTTGGGTATTACTGTATTTTGGTCGACATGGAGTTGTGTATGTTATCTTATGTCCTGGGTATTTTTGGTAAACTTCAACGATATTTTAGGATTTGGGGCATTTTTGTAGGTTTAGTTTGGCAAGGCATGGCAAGGAAAGTTTATTTATATAGCACAGTTCATCCACAACAGAACAGAACAAGAACGTAAAGTATAGGAACTTTAACGCAGCGTTTTTCAACCAGTGGGCCGTGGTTGGTCAGTGTGCCTCGATATGATATTTAGTGTGCCTTTGGAAATGATTCCCTAATTGCTTAACTCTAGAGCCCCCAGAGCAGTCAATTTGACAGCTTTTAGTTTTGGACGTGTAGTTACTCAGACATTTCTGGCTTTTTCTATCTCTATAATATGTAGTTTATTACTACAAGTGAGCAAAGGTACAACTCTTGTGATTTACTTACTTTTATTAAAACAAACTCACTTTTTGGGAGGATTTTTTCCAATTTCCATTGATTTGAATGGGAGCAGCCAAAGTAACGGCTCTGGGAGTTATAGTAGTTTCAGAATCCTGGGAGTGTTAAACTAATGTGAGAATGAGAATGATGTGAGATGAGTTTGCACTTGTTTTGATTTTCTTTAATATAGACTTTAATGAGAATGACTTTACATTGTTGATGAAGGTTGCAGAGTTGCAGCCGGTGGTGTGATTGTAGTCAAAGAATAACCTGTGCAACGGCTCAAAAAGGTTAAACCGTAACTCTCTAGTTCCATGTCGACTAAATATTTTTTATTTTTGTTTGAGATGAAAATAAACGTATTTTACTCAGAAGTAGTAGATGTAGGTTTTAGGGCTTAGATCAAATGCCTTTGTCAAGATATGATATAGAGCAGTAACTAACAATTATTTTCAGGATTTAATCTAATGCATTTTACTTTGATTAATTGAGTTATTGTTTAGAAATATTATATCTCAGTTTGACATAGACAGATCATCAGCCTTTGTCGCTCCCTGCTCCACTGCTCAGGCCATTTGCAGGAAGTTGGCTATACTAATGCTTCTCAGTGGATTTCCGGCTGCTGAAGATGGAGCCGTCGTGTCACATCATTTATCCACACACCAGCCTCATTTAGACGAATCCCAATCCACAATATTAATTTTGCGGAATTACAGTCGATCGCTCTGTAATACACTAGCTAACGCAATTGCTAAATATCCGCAAATAACCACAACTGGTCGTCTTTCTGCAAACTGCATGCATACAGACTTTTTTACCAATAGTAAAGAGGTCTATAAAGCTGAAGTGAAGCCATACAACAACCAGATAGATATACATTTTTATCAGTTAAAATGTTCTCAATTAAAACTATTCTGACTTTGTTAAAGGAAATCTCTGTTTTGGCCGGACTCTGTTTATAGAGCAGGTTACTTAGATATTGATTATTGAAGAAAATTGATTTGTTGCATGTTTCATTTCAATTAAATATCTGTCATAGACTGTTTATTAGCAGTGGACGTCACTATATTGTTTGCCGAATGTGGAAAAAGTCCATTCGAACATGAGCAAGCTGGAGCTACATTCCTTATATGGGGGTTTTTTTACGAACTTTTGCGACAAACCAAGGGTAGGTTTTAGCAAACTAAGGCGTCGCTAATGCAGGCCATGGAGCAGAGCGGTGATGGTTTATGTCTGTCTTACTGTGTTGTGCTTTATGTCATGTGTGTTTTCAATGTAGCAGCCTGTGAGTCCAAGGCAAATTTCCTACGGGACATAATATATTAATCTTGAATCTTAATGTGATTGCTAAGGAAAGCTGGCGTTTCCCCTGCGGAATAAGGCAACTGATTGGTCAGTCCTTATTGTTCATATCTGGAGTATTTAGAAGACAATACTAGACTATAAACCCCAGGGTCAAGGACAACACAAAACCACATTTTTTTCAAGCCCAGAATGGTGAGTCTGGCACAAACAGTTACTGAGCTGGAGGAGTTTACTTTTCAATGTACGTCAATGGAGCCGAAGTGAAAGCCGCAGCACTTCCTGTTCTGCTTCATTGAGCTATAGGGTTAGCATTGTCCATATGCAATCTATACATGATATCTGTATGTATTGCAATACTCTGCAGCCAACATCAAGCTCTATTGAAACAGTCTATGGAACTGCAAAATATGACCCTGAATGAAGCAGAAAGCCAGAGTGAAGTTTCCATGGACTGTAAATCAGTTCGATATTTTTTAAAAGTAAAGTATAGCATGTGTGACTGTGGTTCAGACCTTCACTCATTTTGTTTAAAACTATCTGCACTGAAGCTGTATTGTTTCAGTGGGACCACCATGCTTGAACATTGTTTTTTAGACATAATTATACCACAGTGTTTTTGCCAGACCAGAGAAAAAGCGGCTCTTTTTTTCGCTGTCTATCCTTCATCTATCTGTGCTTTTCTATCTCTGTGTCTCTCGCAGTAGCAGTAGTTTTAACTTACAGCTCTGATTCGAGTGCAGGCCTCATCAGCACTGACAGCCTGTAATAATGTGAAGTCTCCCGTGAGTTCCACCTCCGCAGCCCAGAGAAAACAATCAGAACAATATTATGCCTCGTATCTACTTTCCCCTTCCGAGCTCCATCTATCTTTGGAGACAGGGTGCGCACAATGCCACACTGTTGGGAGGAAAAGATCAGCAAAGGTCAAACCAACTTCCTGGTCCAATCCTATAGGTTTTTGAGTAAAGGTCCCGTCGGCTCCGTGGGAATAAATCTTTCGCAGGAGCAGGTGCTACACATAAACGTGACAGATGAGACTTCCTTATGCGGCGTGTCTGAGGTGAGTGGGGTCGCGCTGTAAAGTTGAGAACCTCGTTTCATGGTTGGGGAAGTTCAGAAAACTAGTAAAAGCTCAGATTATCAGCAGCACCACCTGCTACTGCTGCTTCCATGTGGTTTATGTGGAATCTTCGTCCCTGTCCTCTCGTCTGGCGTTACGATACCTATCTCAATGAAGAGGACTTTCGATTCAATAATATATTATATTTGGGATAGAGTGCATATACGTAAACTTTGTATGCCTTTAGGTTTCATGTGTTTGGTATTATGCACCCCATTCAAACTTTAAGATAATTGCTGTGCTAACCTAACCTATAAGACCGAATAGAGGGGAATGGGTGTTGGGTCACAGAGTGGTATGTGGGGTGTGTGTGTGTGTGTGTGTGTGCCAATGATGTGTTATTATGTTATTCTCTTCTCTGTGTGTTTGTGTTGTACGTGCTCTGAAAGAAATTTTTTTGATTGAATGAATATATCAGTCCAATAGAAAATATAATGTATCCATTTTTTTTCCCTTTCATTCATTGTTTCAAGCAGAAATAGTTAAATTATATTTGTCAACTGTACGTACCGTAGACAGTTCCATAGATTTATAGATGCATAAGATACATAAGAAAATGGGGGAAGACAAATAGACTCAAACCTCATACATAATGTACTTTTTAAAATGCATTGAGTTATTGAACACTCAATGGGAAAGCATTTAAATTTAGATTAAGAAACTAAACTCAACTATGTTTGCCTAAATCTTGCAACATATTCCTTCCACAAAGCCTTTCTTATCTCAAAACATGCTGACAAATATGTTTTGTGGGATATAATTCATGCATTTTTTGTTTTAGTTTCCTTTAACACTGAGGCTCATATTGAAAATGCCATTGCTGAAATCTCACAATGGCCGTGTTGGAAGGATTTGCTCAGCTGCACAAAGGCACGCTCAGGCTTTTGCAAAAAATCAAAATGATGCTATTGTTGGAAAAGATCAGGCTTTTACCCAAGAATGCCATTGTGCCACAGAGAAATGTGAGGCGTTCCTGCAGCTTTGAGAAATGTGTGGCTTCACCTGCTTTGACTTGCTTTTAGCAGATTGTGTTTAATAAACCCAATATCTCCTGTGTCTGTAATTTAATTTTGATTTAAGAAAACATACAAAACTCCTGCAGCAACGACAACTATGTATGTCTGAAGCAGGGGTGTTTTTTTATTTATTTATTTTTTATTTTTTGGAGGGCATTGAGCAGCGTGGAAATTGAGATATCGCCCTGTAGTGGAGGGCCGGACCCGTTTTCATTTTCATTTATTTCATTTTTGATTTAGCAAAAAGCAGCTTTTAAACAAATTAAAATATGAAGATATCCAGTAATAAAATGATGATAATAATAATACATTTCATTGCTTAGGCACCTTTCTTGACACTCAAGGTCGCCTTACACACGTAAACAGGTTCAGATAAAGAAAATCGGCATGAAAAGAGGATGGTGTAGTTTGAGTAGGCTTATCTAAACAGATGAGTTTTTAGAGTGGTTTTGGAGTGAGTGAGTGAGTTTTATCTTTGTGTTTGTGGACAAGTATTATTAGTAACTTTTTTGTTTCATTCATGAGAACAGAACAAACGTATAACTTACCATAGTAGCACAGATCCAGGAAGCAGAAGTTAAAGGCCTTCTCTGAGTAAGGATTCATTTAAATAAGCAACGGACTGGGAAGTGTCCAGAGGCCTCATATTAATTTGAATTGGACCGAAAGTAGTCCCCGGGCCGCATTTTTCCCAGGTCTGGTCCAAAGCTTACTAAAGACACTGAAATAAATGTTTTGTTTTTCTGTCGAAGCTCATATTAAAAGGGCCATTGTTTGAATCTAACAATAGACTTGCTTTTTGCAGATTTTGTTTCCTGAACCCCATATCTCCTGTGTCTGAAAATACTCTACTGTTTGGTTTTCAGAAAGAAAAATGGTCTATCTTCACGTTGCTTTACAAACTACAATTCATTTTTCATAATCAAGTTTCAAACATTCATTTCTTTAACCTTAAAGATAATATATAATTTAGTAGACCTTGAAAGTGGTTGAGAGGGAGCAAGAGAGAAAGAGAGAGGTGAGGTGTAAATTGTCCTTGGGGCCACAAAATTCATCTTCTCCCAATATTGATTTTGGATCCTTGAGCATTACAAGTCATCGTTGCTGCCAAACACAGCGCAGTGCAATTAACAGAGCCACTCTTGAAGAGGCCTTAAAGCTGGGGTACCTAACTTTTCCCCACCATACGATATATATTACATGTAGTTTGTCGAAATCAGAAAGTGTTTTGTGTATGTAACATTATAGCAACACAACAAAACAGAATATGTATCTCATCAGAAAACATGTCTACTTATGAGAATCTTTGGCTTGAGATTCTTGAGATTTTTGCTTTTCTTGAGATTTTTCTTGAAAGACTTGATTCTGCTTCTTAAGGTACTCGGAAAGAGCCCTGTGAGTCACTATTTGATGCTTTTGGATGAGATCTATACTTTCCTGAGTGAGGGTGGTCCTCTCTGTTTGATTATTTATTTATTTGAATGGGACAGTGTGTATTCAACAGGTAATACTGTATACTGTACATGGGGAGGCAGCATTTCACAGTCATGCAGCCAAAATCTGGAACACTCTTCCTGAAAATGTGAGACAGGCTTCTACTCTGACAACTGAAGGAATTTATCTTCACTCTCTTTATTGTACTGTGATTATTTATGATTTTAATGTCTTGTTTGATTAGACAAGAAAATAAATTGCTCCAAGTTTTGGTGAGCACCTGGAGGTCCCTTGTGCATGAACTGTGCTATACACATAAATTTGCCTTTCCTTGCCCCAGTAATAAGCAGTAGTGCTGATTTTTACCTTGAGCTCATGTCCCTCTTTTGTCCCACAATAGTTGAGTCACAATTTTTACTCACAAACACTCACCCTTTCACCCTATTGTATTGTACATCTTCTTAGCTGTATGAGCACCCGGAGGAAACCTATGCAGACACAGGGAGAACATGCAAATTCCACACTCTTTTTTTGTGATGTGACAGAGGCCAGAAATACATGCATGTGAAAACTAGTGTCAGAGCCAAACGAGGAACTTACATGGATTTTGTTGCATAGTTACATTATTTACTGTATGCTTTGAAAATGTTTGACTTTTAGTTTTTTAGTTTTTAAAAGAAACATATTTTTTCCTTTTTAATGTGCTGTTTTGTGCCTTGGTGTGCAGAGTTCCAGGACGGCCAGGTCAGAGGAGGACAGAGACACGTTGTGGGACGCTTGGGGCTCGTGGAGTGAATGTTCTCGCACCTGTGGAGGAGGGGCATCCTACTCTCTACGGAGGTGTCTCAGCTCCAAGTAAGGCTGTCTATCTATTTATCTGTATCTATCTATCTATGTATCTGAATATCTATATCTATATATGTATCTGTATATATCTATCTATCTGTATATCTATGTATCTATGTATCTGTATATCTATCTATCTATCTGTATATCTATGTATCTATGTATCTGTATATCTATCTCTGTATATCTATCTCTGTATCTATTTGTATATCTATCTATCTATATCTGTATATCTATCTCTGTATCTATTTGTATATCTATCTATCTGTCTATCTGTATATCTGTATATCTGTCTGTCTGTCTGTCTGTCTGTCTGTCCCTTTATCAATGAGTTTTCTGAAAATACAGTATCTTAGTGCCATAAAAAAATGTCACCCCTTCTTGAGCAAATCCTCTCAAATATACTATTATAAAATGTTGAAGATTAACGCTCGAGGAATACTTCTCTTCTGCTATACTTTTTAATTTTAACATTACTATGACCCGAAACGTTTAACTAGGCTATAATGCGTAACATATGTATGTAACTTCAGTCATTAGACCCCTGATAAATGCTCTCATCTCTCAGACAATTTGTAAACCCCTGTTCGAACACAGTGAAGGTAGTCCTCTTGTTTAACTCACAAGGACCTGTTTTCCATTAGCGGCCATATGTTAGCTCAGAGCAGCGCAGCGGCTGGGGAGAGGAGCGCCTTCACTTGTGCCTGTCAAATAAAAGCAGCCCCCAGCCCCTAATACTGCGAGTAAATCTCATCAATCGGACTGGTTCCGCGAGGTTGTGAGGGAGCACACAGGATGCATGCTAAGTGGTCCATGGGGGTCAAGCGATACCAGTTGCCCATCTACCTTGCTGCTTTAGCTCAAAGTCTCGAACTATAGAGGCAAGCAATCCCATCGCACGGTCAAGAGGTCCGGACCTGTTTTCATGCAGTTAACATTCACTGCAAAAACTGATGAAAAATAAGTAAAAAATTGCTCGATATTGCCAAAATGTATAGTAATTTTTGCATATTTCGAATGCCTTAAAACAAGATTTTCCAGTGGAACAAGCAAAATTATCTTGTTTTAAAAAGATACAAGAAATGTCTCCCTTGGAATGAGAGAATAAAGCAACAGTTTTTGAAATAAGATTAAAGAATTTTGTCCTGGGGGCGACAGTGGCTCAGTTGGTAGAGCATTGGTCTTAGAGCCTGAAGGTTGTGGGTTCGAGCCCACCACAAGACCTACTTCATGACTCCCACTGATGACTTCTGTCGTTGTGTCCTTGGGCAAGACACTTAACCCCACTTTGCCTAAAGCCCCTGCTGTATAATCAAGGCTCCTGTGAACTCATCACCTGCAGGAGGATCAGTGAGGGGCTCTGTGTACTGGGTGCAGCTCTGAATGCCACCCCCCTGACCCAGAAATGGATTAAGGGGAAGAAAATGGATGGACGGATGGAGTTTTGTCCCATTGGCAAAAATATTAGGTCAGAATGAACTCAAATTAAAATAAAAACCACTTGATTCAAGCAATTATTACCTCATATTTTATCATTGTTTGCAGTGTTCGAGTTGACATTTTTTAATTTTAGTATGATTTCATTGTTTGTGTAAAAAATTGTATTTGTAGATCTTTAGCACCTTTTTACACTGTTTTACAGGTATTTTGCGCATCTTATTGATAATAGATTTTGACATTATTTTTTGGTTTTGCTTCGGTAGTATGTCTGTCTTTTCATTTCAAGTCTGTTTTTTATATGTGTCCGCAGATAAAAGGTCACATGTACAAACCATATTCTTTTCTGAATTTTTTTTTTTAATTAAACTGATATACTAAATGACATAATATTTTACTTTTTCAAATTTTCCAGCAGATTATCCAATCAGAGAGCAGAATAAGTCGGCCCAGTTTGATTGCCAGTTTCTATGAAGTTTGGCAAATGTTGGCTCTCTTTTTTTAACATACCGTTCAAAAGTTTGGGCTCACATTGAAATGTCCTTATTTTTAAAGGAAAAACACTGTAGATAACTTTAAACTAGTCTTAACCGTAAAGAAATACACTCCATACATTGCTTATGTGGTAAATGACTATTCTAGCTGCAAATGTCAGGTTTTTGGTGCAATGTTGTAATTGCTGCAAATGGAGGATTCTTTGACGAAAGCAAAGTTGGATGTAAAACAAATCTTATTTCAAATACAAATCATTATTTCTAATCTTGTCAATGTCTTGACTCTATTTTCTATTCATTTCACAACGTATGGTGGTGAATAAGTGAGACTTTTCATGGAAAACACTTGGGTGACCCCAAACTTTTGAACGGTAGTGTAGGCACAATTACGAGCAAAGGAATAGCACTACATAAAGTGGGGCAACAAAGTATTTAGTCAGCCACCGATTGTGCAAGTTCTCCCACCATAATGTACAAATAAATTCTTTAAAAATTCTACAATGTGAATTCCCGGATTATTTTTTCCCATTCTGTCCCTCACAGTTGAAGTGTACCTATGACGAAAATTACAGACCTCTGTCATTATTTTAAGTGGGAGAACTTGCACAATTGGTGGCTGACCAAATACTTTTTTGCCCCACTGTGTATATGTAAATGAAAGCAGATACAAAAATATTTTGTGACACATACTACAAAGAGTTTTGTATTGTTTCAGGCAAATACAAATTATAGGTGTGTGACCTAGCTTAGGAGCTACTGTACATGTGTGACAAGAAGGAAGATTCTGGCAACAAAAGTGAGATTAAAATACTGAGTTGTAGACTGATTTACAGATTAATATATAAATGCAACAGACTATTAGCAGGAAGTGTCTGGGGGCCGCACAGAAATGTGAACAGGGCCGCTTGCAGCCCTCAGCCCACAGTTTTCCCCCAAACAGCTTTTTGGTCCTGGCAATATGCATCACCATCACTGTCTCATGCTTGTCATTCCAAATACTTTTTCTCGTGACAAACTTTGAACTCGCCACGCTTCAATACACCTCTCATCATCTTGGCTTAAATCTAAAAAAATGTTGGGACCTTTTCTTCCAGTGCCAGAATCGCCGGTTAGATTTAAGGCTTCAAACTTGGAGAAAAGGGAGGGCTGGTACTAATGCAGGGTATGGGCAAAGTGGACAATTACAAAAGATCTGAAGGAAAAAGAGTATGTTTTCCATAGAAATGCTGTCACTTTTATGGACTGAGGAAATAGCTGGAGGGTGACTTCACTACATTCTTACATTTTACTGTTCCCAGAATGTGAACGGTGAGAGGTAGCTCCAAAAGTCACCTCTGATCGAGCAGGAGTAGCAAAAGGATCAAACAGTGAGGTCATAAACAAGTGAGTTCAAGTGGACATAAAGTGGGAGTAATGCGCTCTCTGCAGGATACTACCATCAATATGTCGCATGAGTTTTAGAAGAGAAATATTATGGTTTTTACCTGGGTTGCACCAGTTTAAAGAAATGTGTGTGGAGATAGATTGGCTTTCAGAGCCCGGATAGCTCAGTCGGTAGAGCATCAGACTTTTAATCTGAGGGTCCATGGTTCAAGTCCCTGTTCGGGCGATAGCTTTAGCAAATCTCTTTAGCCTACGGTCAATAAAATAAATCTTATCATATTATTAGCCTATTTTCTGACATTTGCAGTGATCCTTGTATTTCTAGACCAGTTTTAAAGCTCTAAACCCAGAGATAGCAAAGTATATATTATTTGCTGTTTGTGAAGAAAGCGTCCCCTTTGTTGCAAAAGCCTGAAGTATTGCACACCATACGCCGATTCACCGAAATACAACCAAGCTTTTTTTTTATGTGCGAGACACGTGCACTAAAGTGGCATTCAGTCAAAATGCAGAGGAAATATTCTTGTGTCAATGGTCTTTGGTGACTACATCAGCTCTACATGTCTGCACCACAGGAGGCACGCTGGTTTGACAGTGATTCTAGATCTTGTATTTTTTTCTTAAAATCTTGCGTTTGAGCAAACCAGCCACAGACACCATGAGGACAAACACATACATCTGACCTGTGCTTGTATATCTGGGCTGTACTGTCCTCTCCTCTTCTCCATAGACTTCACATGGGCAGCAGCTGTCTCCCCTCTGAGTGTATGGATGCCCTGAGCCGCGAGCTTACCTGGCCTGGAAGAGGTGCGGACCTGTGGAGTGTAGGGGATATTTGGGGCCGAATGGAAAACTTTGTGGTGGGGTCCTCCTTCATGGATGCAGTTTTACAGTAATATGTAGTGTGTGATTGCTATAATGAAAGTATAACATAATACCATAAAACCATGTGGATATGAAAGAGCATAATTTAATGACATTGATACATACTGGCATAAACAAAAGACTCATATCAAGAATGTTGGAGTAGTTTTGGATGTGGCTGGGATGCATATCAGAGCAAAGAAACCTAGCAGTGATCTCTATTGGTCCAGGGGGGTCAGCAGGGGTCATCAGACAAATTCACCTCAACAGTGATGGAGGAAAGAGAAGAAGGCTCTTTGTTCTAAAATACTTGTGGATGTTGTTTTATTGTTTATTGTTATACATAACTATTGGAGAGATTGGTTGAACAGAACAGAAATTTACAGTTTTTGCGATTTGCATATTGAAGCCCTAAAATTGGTATTTTGATTTGATTAACTGTGCAGGCCTCTATAATGATAATAATAATACATCAGTTTTATATAGTGCTTTTCAAAAACTCAAAGACTCTTCACAATTCAGGACACACACACACACACACGTTTAGACAGACACACAAAACAAAACATCTAAAAGCAAAGTTCAAAGTTGAAACTAAGAGTCATATGCTTGGAGGAAGAGTTTAGTGAGTTCGAGTTTCTGAGATGAGGGGGAAGAGAGTTCCAGAGAGTGGGAGCAGAGATGGCGAAAGCTCGGCCCCCCAAGGTCCGGTGCTTGGATTTGACAGTGGGAGTGAGGAGATGTGAGTCTGCAGATCGGAGTCGACGGGAGGGACTGTAGGGCTGTCAAAGTTAAGTGAAGTCTGGAGGAGCGAGGTCATGGAGGGGCGAG